TTTGCTTCTGAGGGTAAGCCAGATACTTCAGAGATAGCTACAAGAGATAATTCAAACAGGAAGATCCAGGGTGTCTTGAAGTGACCAAGTATGAAATAACTTGTCCATAATGGAAATTTATTCCTAATTCTGTTAATAACAGTTTTTCCCCTGAAGTTTGAGAGTTTACATTCTTATTAAAAAGAAAGAGTGTGCCTATGGGTCTCAGCAATGGCATGTGGCATTGCTCTGCCTATAATTGAGAGGTGTTGTTCCCCAGCATGTCTGCTTTCTGCCCCTAATGGTTGCTGCAGGAGGTTCTTGCTAACAAGCCCCTGTGTAAAGCGAAGATGAGCTATACGATGCTTTTGTGACTGCAGCATTTGTCTCGTGGTAGGGTGTAGACTCAGGATGCTCTTTTGAAGCAGGTTTTTTTCTCCTTCCTTCATTTCTTGGTGGATGTTTCCAACTCTCGCTTTACCAACCTCATGTGCCAGGATTTCCAAGAAGCTCTAGTTAGAAAGTGCTTTGCTGGAGAATACAACTTATTTTATAGCAACACTGGGGCTAAAATTGTAGCAATAACAAAAGAAAAAACAGTCTCACAAATATACAAGGGAGAGATGCAGACAGGTTAGAACAACCTGTGGTTTTGAAATCTATCAAAATAAAGCAAACCACATTAATAGGTCAGTGTACAAAGATAATGAATGCAAACCACAGCAGAAATTTGTGCCCTACATGTTCGTACTTCCCCTGGTTGTGTACATTACATAATCATCTTCACCACTACCATGTGGTGTCCTTGTGCCTCTTGGAGACCTTGTGCTTAGTCCTTGCAAGACCAGAGGCGAGAGAGACGCTGCGGGGGTGAGGACAGGGAGAGCGACTCATGGTCCTCACTGGGTGGCAATGCCTGTGGGCTTTGCCCTGCATTGCCACCTGTGTGTGTTCCTGTCAGAGATGGCAAGCCCATTTTTCTCACCTGTGGCACCAAAGAAGCGTAATAAGTTCAGTGGGAGGGACAGGGCGGGCGGGTGCAGGAGGATGCCAGCGCTGTGCTGGGAGAGGCATCAGCCTGCTGTGGTTTGGTGGCAGCTGGAGCTCTTCAGCACAATGAGATTGGCTAAAGTAAAGCTGGTGGTGAGGGAATTTAGGTACGGAAAGCTTGAGGCCAATCTTCCTCTTTACTGCTTGAGTTCTGGTTTTAAGGTGATTGAGATATGTAAATGCATGCTCCTTGCAAGTGCCGAACGTGCATTGTGGTTGCAGCCTCACTGTTGAACCATCTATTTGGCAGTGGTGTCCAAGGCTCCGAGCTGTAAGAAACGCTCAGTTGTGCTGGACAGGGTGCACGTACAGGGAGAGGTGGTTTGCCAAAGTCCTGGAGAGCCAAGGGCTGCACTCTGGATCCCTGTGGGTGCAGGGATCCTACCAACTGGATCAGCTGGCACCCACTCCTAAATGCAGTTGGGATTGGGTCCCGTTCCTCCTGAAATCTATAGGATCTTAACTTGGTTCTCATGACAACAGGCTTTGGCCCTCTTTGATGTGGCAGCAACCCAGAGAATGGCTACTCTTATTCTGATTTTGGTTTAAAAACTCCTAAGTCACTTTTCAGCACTGAGATGTTCCTGCTCAATGCAAGGAATGTCTGCTGCTTCCTGCTTAAAAGAAACAGTATTGAAACTTTTCTACCATGTAAACTTTTAAGTTTTTCAGCCAGCTCTAGTAAAACAGCTGTTTTCCCTGGATTGTGAACTGGGGGATTTCTCAGGGTATGCCTTAACTAAAACTAAATCTGTACCCTCCCTAAATACATCTGTATCACACTCAGGTCTTTTTCTAGACAGTACTTTCTAAATTTAAATTTGTTCCTTGGGTAACCTTTCATGTCACTATCTATTTAGCAAAGGGTGTGTTAGTCCATCTGGAAAATTTTGAAACAAGATCTTGAAATAAACCTGGGTTGAAATTTGTTCAGCATAGAAATGCATATTTCTAGATTTCCAGATAACAGTTACAAGAGCTGATCTAATTAACTGCTATTCTGCAGCTCTTACAGAATCTATTTTATTTGTATAACAAATGCATATCGATTGGTGGCAAGCAAGTACTAAAGCAGGTTCAATTGCATTTTACATTGTGTGCTTAGCCAATAAGGCATAGGAAATGTATGCTTCACACTGGGATAGTGCAGTCGCTATTGAAGCACTAGGCTGCAGGATTACCTAATGCTACTTAGCAATCAGCATCAACAGCATCCATAACGTGCCTGCTGTAATGCAGCTGTCTTAGTCACTTAGCGGCTCCTAACAAATATTTACCAGAGGATTTTTACAGTTATTCTATTACACTTCATAGGTATAATTCAAACCGGATCTATTAATAATGTATAAAACAGAAGCATAAAGCTGTTTTCTGTATAAATGTTCCACAGTTCAGTTTGCTCCAATGAGTGAATTTACCTTTAAAGAATTGAAATGTAAAACATATATGGGTCATAATTCTCAGCAACATTATTTTTTACTGTCGCTTACAAAAACACACATCTCTGGTTAAAAAAAAAAAAAAAAAAAAAGTTGGTATATCATTATAAAAGAAATACTCAATCCTTCTGAAATATCCTGGCCAAGACTTGCCAGAATCTTGACCCAGTGTAATCTTTTATAAATACCTCCCTACGAATGTGCCTCTTCAAGTACGCCTGAGTATATTATTTAAATCCCAGAGGAACTTTAGAAAGTGCGTGCAGGAATGGAAATCCTTTTAAATGATAGTCTTTTGTATGGGAAGCTTTCTGAAGAGGGAGGTCTGATCCTGCCGCATAGAAAGCCGGCAGGGTTTTTACAGGAGCCATATGAGGTACTTGGTGATAGAGAGAAAATTCCACCATTGGTATCTGACTGCCCTTGGAAATGAATGCAGCTGTGTTGGCTTTCTGTGGGAAAACGGGAATGGGAGTGGGAAAGCAGGCGCGGTCTCATGATGTCTCACGGGACTAACCTGGAGGCAAATCCATCCCTTGGTTTACGCAAGTGTAAATGCCCACTAGTGTAGCTGAAGCAAAGAAAATTTGATTTATTGCTCACAACAAAACCCTTCAGCACCAGATCCTGAAATATTTAGGTCTAGCTTTGACGTGAGTAGCCCCTTTGATTTCACATGAGTTTGGAGATGTAACGTTAAGTGAATGTATTTAAGTTTTTTTAGTTCTCCCCACAGGTTCTTTCCTTCAGCCACTACTGCCACTGGGGGAGTTTATCATTTGGATATTACTAGAGATATGATGTCCTTAAGATTTAAGTTTTATGGGCATGTTAATTGAATTAAAAGATTAATATACAGTGCAAGGAACCAAGGACATAGGAGATTAATCCTGAGAAATAAAACATAGTTGAGTCATATAGAAGTACTACTGGGCAAAGAAAAACCCAGCACTGAAAGACCTTTGACAAGAAAGGTTGTTTTTTCCCCCGACAACCCTGTCAGCTATGGCTGTCAACAATAAAAAGAAGAAAACAAATAAATTGGAGGCCGTGTGTAAGTCATAGGACCAGAATATAAATACATATGACATGGAAAGGAGTAAATAATACTGACGCTTTCTTTAGAAATGTTCTCAGGCAATGCTTCCTATTCATGTCCTACTGAAATGACATGAAATAAAACTTTGTGGGAAAAAGTGTTATTAATCACACAGGTTCTTGAGGGACGTGACTATCTGTGTGTTGAGAGGCACTCTTCCTTTACAGGGCTGCTGTCTAGTGCCTGACACTGACAGTGCCAATATAAAGAAAAGTTTGGTGTTTTATGCATCAGATCATAAAAGAAATGTGTTTAACCACTGCTACCTAAAAGGACACTTATGCATTCTTCACTGCAGGTGAAGCAGTTCCTTATGGAGCTGGAAATCTGGATGAGAGCAGCACTGCCAGAGCATGCAGGGGGCTGGTGGGGACGGGGCTGCGAAGGAGCCCCGCACTCCTGCAGGCATCTGAGCAAAGGCAACTCACACCCGGGCCTGGCCCGAGGGGGGCAAATCTCACTGCTCTGGGAAAGCAGAAAACCTCAAATTAATGAGACATCTTCAAAGCCCACAAAGTAAAATGAAGGGAGGAAAAAATATAGATTCCCCCTGTAGTCATTGATAATTTAATAGCTATCATTCATAATCAAGATGGTCCTAGCAAGGAGGCCACCGCTTACTCCCGGCCCCATGTGAAGACAAGCCTTAACACCTTTGAAAGCTCACTGGCTGATCTTAGCTAAGGTGCCCACGAAGGCTCATCACATCTGGACCTTTTTAAACAGATGTGATATGAAGTGGCATTTAAGAACATGTGCATGCCATCGACTCACCTGTTTTTCCAAGGCAGCCCAAACACACATGGATCTCCCCAAGCATAGCTCCAGCTGCCAAAACCACCCTGTCCCTGTGCAGGCGCAGTCAAGACTCCTCTCATTCCCTGATCCAGCCCTGGCAGCCCCATGGGAAGGTGTCCACCCTAGGAGAGTTTTAAAGCCTCTGCTATAAACTGTGCTGATTCTTATCCAGCGACAGCTATGGTTACTGATTTACAACCTGCACTGGTGACATAAAAACCCTGTCAGCACCGGGTGGCACATAGGATGGTGCTCTTTGGCCTTGCAACCCCAACTTCATAAGCCTTCTGCTCCTTTTTGATAGTTACCTACTTGGACAAAAACTCGAAACACATCCTAGAGGCTATTGCTGGGCTGTGTCTTTGTAGGACTGATTCAAAACGTCCTGCTGAGTAAATTTTTTTGCCTCGGTGTCTGTAAAGTGGAGGTTAAAGCTCTTCCCTCCTCACAAGTGAATCCACATGTACCAGGCTCTTACATGCACCGCGGTAGCCCCTACTCCAATGACTTCACTTACACACTGCTGCTTGAGTTACAGTCCTGCTAACATAGAATGGTGTTTAGGCTTGAAAAAAATGTTGGTTGTTTTTTTTTTTTTTTTTACTTTGCCACATTTTACATGTCTTTCCTTGCAGGTCTGTGTGGTGTCCTTAGTGGGATTTGTCATGCTTTGCATTTCGTACCAACCTGACGAGAAGACATGTGTGCAGTTCACAGTAAAGGTACCTTGGCTTTTCTTTAATTTCTTTTTCTTCTCATGTTGTTAAGTATAATCGGAAAAGTTGGTATTCAGGATATTTTTAAGACCACATGAAAAGAAGTGAAAATGCACCTGAAATGCAAGAATGGTTTTCTGGTATTTTCCAGGCAGCTAAGGAAGAAACTGTAGCCTATAAAGGGGAAACTGATAACAAATATCTCAAATCAGAACAGGATACCGTTTTATTTGCCATGTTTTAAGAATATCAAAGAGAGTCAGATCAACAAAGCTGGAATAATTTGGTTAGTGTTCAGTGAAAGACAGAGAGTTACTGATTAAGTAGAGATATTGGTAGAGAGCTGGGTAAGAAGTAGGGTGGCATAAAATGTGTCCACTTAAATCAAATTTTAACTTTTAATGTGGTCTAAGAAGCATCTCAGCATCTTCCCAACAGCTTTGCTCCTCACCATGAAATAAGAAACTGCCTGGGCACAGGCAAATTATTAAGGGTGGCTGGAAATCTCTACCTGCCCACCTCCGCGGTCGGGGACAGAGGCTGTAGCTGAGCATCCGCAGCCGTGTCTCAGCACACAGTGCCTTGTGCCAGGGTCAGGCGTTAGTGAACATGGGAAAGCATTAACAAACCATGGGGACAAGCATTCTTCCATGAAGCAAATTCCCATCTGAGCACTGCAAGAGAGACACAGAAACCATGCATCGTTCCCTGCCTCGGTCCCCAAAACTGTGCTTCATTGACACTGGTAAGCGACTAGAAAAGAGAAGCTGAGAATGCTTGTTCCAGATGGTGCACTTTTAACGTCCTTTTTCTGGGCTGTTTTTCCTTATTATTGTAATTTTTAGGGCTCTTAATATTTTGCAGACACATAACAACCAAGAAAAATACCGATGCAAGCAACACAAAATAACAGTGATTATTAACTGAGAAAGGCAGAAGGAAATCAAATGCAAGGAGCAGCTTTTAGAAACCTGGCATTAATCCTCCCTTAGAAATTAGACCCTGGTGTGTCTTTTGTGTCTCTCTCAAGCTTCTCCCATACTTAGATAAAGAAAGGGAGAAGAACAATTGTTTCTGCCTTCTGATTGCCTTTACATTCTTGCCCCTTCACCTTTATGCCTGCAAGTAAGCCTTACGGCTGCCCAGGGAGCTGCTGGTCTGGGCGGGAGCTGCCACGCCAGGCTTTTTATTGCTTGCCCTGCAGCATTAAATTGAACTTGGCATCCAAGCAGGAAGGGAGTCATCCCTCGTGGTGGGAGCGGCATGTTGGGCTGGGCCGCTCAGATGTTTCTGCCACCCTTCGCAGCACTACCCACCCTGGCAGTGAGGAACCTGAGCCATCACGCCCGCAAGAAAATAAATGTTTTTAAAGTGCTCCTCAGGGGATGTAAAATGGGTTATTCCTCATCACCTGACAGAATGAGAGCTAAAGTCTCCCTTGAAAGACTTCTGGATCAGTCAATAGCCCATAGACTGTTGTGTACCCAAAATCCACCCTCCTCTCCAAAATACACCTTCCCAAAGTTTCCTGTTGCGGCACTCCATAAAATTCCACCATTTGCAGGCTGTTCACCTGTCTTGTCCCATATCCTGACGGGGAGCCTTATCCCACAGTGCATCTCCTCCTCGCTGACTCTCCCGATAAATAGCTTCTGGCTGCAGAGCATGTACCTATTTTAAACAAAGTAGGAGCTAGGAGTCTCCTCTGGGGCTTTGTTCACACAGGATTCATCTAAATCTCCAGTATCACTTCTCAGACCTTCAAGTATCAGTTAAAGTCTGTCTCTGAACAAAAAAAAAAAAAAAATAACATTAGCTATTCGGTGACAAGGCTGAGGATGCAAAATTACAATCATGAGAATAAGCCAAGAAATTTGGGTTGTTCTCTCCTCCTTGAGGAGGTCTGATGTTTCATCCAGTGCCTGGGTTGGGTTCAGCCCCATCTGCCCCAACTGTCCTCCCAGGAACTTGCTCCCCAGCCCAGGCCCTGCCCTCACGCAGGTGGCTAGTGACCGCCGGGGCTGCCAAGTACCATCCTACAAGAAAACCTTGTCTGGGCTTCCCTGGAGTGCAGTAAGCACCCCGGGATCTTTTGCTTAGCCCAAGGGTCACTCTGGGAGGAGGATCACACACACACAGGCCTGGGGAATTTTAGTCAACCCCCGAGGTGACCCCATGACCACTGTGAGTGTCTCCCTCAGGGAGGAGATGCATGCAGTCCTCTCTGCCTTCCTCCCTCTTGACAGCTGCTTATTTCGTTTCACACTTGCATGAGCTCTAGATCCTGTTGAAAAGAGCGGTGTTAGAAGCACTTTTGGCAGAAGTTCCTTCCTGAGTCTACCACAGGTACTCCCAGCACCCCATGTGTCCGTGACAAAAAGGAGACCACCACCCAAAGGAAGGGTGGCTTTGCCCTTTGGGGGGACAACAGCGAGTCCCAGGTGGAATTTCTGCCCCTGCCCCATCTCTGTGTCTGCAGGAAGCATGCTCTGCAGTATGGCAAAGCAGCATGCTCGCTCAGCTGTTACCTGTGTATTTAAAAGGGGAGTTCCTCTTGCCCTGGGGAAAAAAAAAAAAAAAAAAAAAAAAAAAAAAGACCACATAGGAAAATCTTGAGATCTTCTGTGGACTTCCTGGGTTATCTGCTAATATTTGATAGATCACTCACTGTCATCACTGTCATCCTCATCATGGCATCTCCCACAGTAGCGTGACAGCCCCTACTCCTGCCCACCCAGCCCCAGCAGCCCACGCCGTGACACACACTGTGGTTCCTGTTCCCTGCATGGGCTCACGCCTGAGCCACCCCTGCCTTCAAAAGGGGTCCCCTGGATCCACGTCTGCAAACCCTTCTTCTGGTTTCACCTCTGATAGCTGTGAGAAGCCTTTTCCACGAGGAAATTGATCCATCTTAGGTTATTTATTTTCTTTTTGGCACGGAGAAAAACTATTGCAAGTAAATATTGCTAAAATATTTCTTCCTCATATGAGGAACCTGAAGGAGGACGAGCTGCCACGTTCTGACCTCATCATATGCTGTGCCTCCCCGCTTCCCTTTTCTCCTTCTATTTAAACAGCAATCACAGTGCCTATCTCTCTGAGGCTGTTAAAAAACAGTTTTCCAGTGGCAAGTTCTGGTTCCTGAGCAGAGCTCACTAAGTGGTTGTATTGGTGATGTTGAAGTTGCCTCCACATCTGGCACGTGATTAATCTGCTGATGGGATCTCAGCACTCAGTGTCTTGTGCTCCCCTCACAGGCAGTATTTGCATTTGCCTCACCTTTGATATTTGGAAATGCGTTCATTTTCATCAGCTAGCAGAGAGATTCCTCTTTAAACATCTTGTGAGAATAATAAGCTATTTGGAAGTTTCCCTATGTCCCCGTGCATCTCTGTTCACCTCTGAGGATTGCTGTAAGAGCTTCTCATTTATTCAGATTCTGAGATTTCCTTCCCTTTAGGTACACAACAGGCAAATTCTTGCTTGCTGTATTTGGAGTGTAGCTTCGGCTGTGGGTTTCATGCTATTTTGTCCTGACTTTGGATAGACGTTGGCAGCTAAATAAAATACCGGCCAAGGGAGAATCAGGCACATTGTGTAGTCGTGGCTTAATAGCTCATTTATTAGGGAGGCCTGATTCTGTCTTCTGCTGGTCTGAATCCATGGACTTCCAGTCAGCCCACTAGGACTTCTACATTGTAAAACAACCTTCATCCCTCAGAGAAGAGGAACAGTCACCAATGTTTGTTCATTTTCCATTTTCCCCATCAAACACATTTGCACCATCTTTTAAAGTAATGACATTGGCTTATGAATTACCAGATCTTCGTTTGGAGGGGGTCCATCAGTCAGTAGCACTCTGGTTTCTGTGAACTTTGTATGAGGAGGTGTCCTCATTTTCCAACTTCGTTTTTCCCATGGACCTTTACCTTGAAATCTGCGTGGGTAAAGTAATTACATTTAATAAGAGCCACCCTCATTTTGAAGCTGCCCTTGGTTTAAGGCTGCAGGGGAAGTAATTAAATTTAATAATAGCCAAATCTTAGAAACGAAGATCTTGCTGTAAGAGTTTAGTGATACAGGGGAGAAAATGTATATATTTCTTTAAGAGCTGCAATAAGCCCAAATATTTTTTAGTTCAAGCTGGCAACTGAATAGGAAGATTGATTCACGCTGTAGATATAAGACAAATACACCAGGAGTGTAAATTTTATCAAGACATACATACTTGGAGTTTCAAGGTCATAAAAAATGCTTTTATATTGGTAGTTTGCTTGCAGTATTGAGGTTAAGAGAGAGAGAAAGAGAGAAGCTGCTGTTTAAAATAACAGATTCCCAATCATGCCATGTGTCTGACAGATAAGACGCCAAGAAAAATAAATGTTTTTACACTGCTGAACAGAACCAAAAATGCTATTTTGGCTAAACACAGAATATGATTTTAATATACATTCACACATATTTTGTATGCAGCACAGCAACTGCCAGCTCCAGCTATCAAAAGTGAGGGAAGTCCATATGCTCTGGTATCCAAAGGTCTCAGGTGCAACCCGGAGTGACAAAGGCTCTGAGTTGCTGCCAGTTTCCATGCGTTTGTGGGGGTGGACCCTGCATAACTGCCCTTGATAAAAGCCACCCTATTTTAAAGCTGCCACTGGTGTAAGGAGCAGTGGGGTGACAAACAGACCCTTGTCCTTCTCATGTCATCGCACTGGGAATTGACAAGGAGCTCGCTGCTCTTTCACGCCTTTGAAGGACTTCTCCTCCATGTTTATGAGGCAAGTTTTGGAAGGAGACTGAGCACAGCACGTACTTTCTCGTGGAGATTTGCATTCCTGCTCCACAGTAGGACCTGGGAAGCAAGCAGGCTGGCTTTATTCGCAGGGCCACAAGCAGGAGATCAGCCACCTCACCGCCTGATTTGCAAGTATAAATCACATTTGTTTGGGCATGCAAACCAAGAGCTGGGAATAACACATGAGCAAAGTTTCAAAAACACCTACTTCTCAGCACAGCCTGGGATAAGATGTCAGCCCGAGCCTCAGTCTGCTCAGCTCTGCTTCAAGGCAACTGCACTAATTTATCTCAGCTGATGACTGTAAGTCTAGCCAATGCAGGTACAACAGTAGAGGAAGACGTTCTCCCCCACAACCCTAAAGCTTATGGCTGTCTAGAGACACGGATTTCTCGGTGCTCTCATCAGGTCTCGAAATTGCAAGACAATACTCATATAAAATATGCAAGGCAGAATTACTAGTTCTTGAGATGACCTGTTGAACTTTGCATCGCCAGGGAGTTATAGCTGTCTTGCAATCTCTGAAGCACAAAATGTCCGGATAGTAGAGCAGATGCATGCATTCCCCATGAAGTATATGTGCATGCATTTGTTCTGTGTTCCTCATTCTCTATGTAGCTGGAAAAAGAGTGCTATTTTTCTTTTTCTTCTTTTTTTTTTTTTCTTTTTTTTCTCCTGTCTTTCAGCTGATGTATTTTCTCTTGAGTGCCCTGGGTCTGGTTGCCTGTGTTTTGGCAGTGGCTTTTGCTGCACACCATTATCTGCAGATGACAAAATTCACCTGCGATACCATCCTCGAGTCCTGTCAGTGCAAACTGGACACTGCAGACACCCTCGGTAGGACCTTCGTCTACCAGGACGCAGCTGACTGTGACAGCCTCACCAGCATGCTTAACCTGTACTTACTCCTGCAGATGGTTCTCAATCTGGTCTCAGCCCTGGTGTGTCTATCGGCATGCTTTGTGATGTGGAAACACAGATACCAGGTCTTCTATGTGGGCGTTCGGTTCTATCCTTTAACTGCTACCGAAGGCCAGCGGCAGAAAGTATAGGGTCTGGGCTGGCAGGGGGTTGTTGCCAGGGAATGGAAAATGTCAGCGTACTGCCACCATAGACATCACGGATGGATGAGTGTTTATCAGGTTTTTGACAAGGAAGAACATTCACACGGTTTTAATGAATATATTTTTCAATCATTTTAAGAGCATTTCATGTGGCTGCTCTTGCGAAAGGTCTCTTGTGAGATTATATAGAGGTCACAAAGTCCTAAAGATGCAGCTGTACAAATACGCACTAAAGAAGATCTTTAATAGCCATAGACAAAATGAGAGCTTAAAAAAATCATTGGGAACTCATCTTCAGGGCTATAGCCATTAAGAAATAGGGTCCATTTCTATTACTGGTAGATGCCTGTTCTTGCCTTCAGAGAAGCTATACCAATTTCTACTAGATAAGGATCTGGTCCAAAGTGCTTAATTATTATTATGCTGATCATGCTTAGGGAATATACGGTCTCTCGGATGCTCTGGATATAATTCATACTAACCTGATGGGGATTTACCATGTCGAAAAATAATAAGAGGGGTTAAGATTTCTTCAAATGTAGGTTGAGACCAACAGAAAAGTGAACATGTTGATGATTGCCATATAAAATATACATAAGACTTTTCAGAGTGACTAATGATATAGGCTATCTAATCCAATTACTAATAAACAAAATACGAATGGGTTGACTAATGGTGATTTGGTGGGTCCTGCCTGATACCCCAGACAGATTTCTGAAGTATGAGTGCTCAGCACTTTGTGAGAGAAGATCAATTTAAGAAACATTGAGTTGCACTTCTAAAGCGGAGGACCCTAAATCACTAGTCACATTGAAAACTATGTTGACATTGCTGTAATTGCAGGCTCCCAAACCCGGCGTCTAGCCAGTTCCACCAATTATACTCCAAGCACAAAAGGCCAAATGCATTCTTGGTGTAACTCCTCTGAAGACAATCAGCCATACATACCAGCAGTGGAGTTGGGCCAACAGCCCTAAAAGATATATCCCTGCAACAATGAATGTTTTTAAAATGGGGCGGAGGGAGGGAAGCAAGAAGAGACTGCCAGTCTCCCAAAGACACCATTTATAATGATGAGGGCAAAGTAATAATGATTTCTTAATAAGCAGCATAAAATAACAAACTGCACTCAAACAGTGCTTTTTCATGCTTAAAGTATAGCTCTAGAAGTGCTTTATGTCTTACTAGCCTTATACCAAGAGAATTATGTTGGTTTGTCCTTTGAACTGTCATTTCCACTTGCACAGCAAGGAATTCTAAATGTAGAGGCAGGTCTGAATCAGCAGCATTTTACACTGCCTGCCGATACAGATGTGTGCAAGGGCAAGGCAAGCTGATGCTCACGCCCTGCCATGACTAGGGATTTCCTGATCCCAGCCAGAGCAAGGGAGTCTCTGAGATGGGGTGGAGCAATCACATGACAGAAAAACTGTGCTATAATCATTAGCAAGGAAGAAGCAAATAAAATTTCTATAAGGCTTCAAAGAAGTAAAAACTTTCTGTTTCTGCAACAAAAATATTCACCAGGAAGTCAAAAAACCAGTCTGGCAAAAAGCTAGTTGTCTATTGTCTGAGTAGGTCTACTACCCAAAAACTGTCTTCCATATGGTGCCATCCCAGAGCTAGACCAGCATACCTCCAGGGTCAGAAGATCACAGCGTAGTTAAGTTTCCTGTGGTCCACCTAGAGCACTACTTGGTGTATGTGCTTGAGTTTTTGTCATGGAAAGTTCTTCTAGAGTAGACGTGGCATCACCAAGGTGCTCTCTGCCAAGCTGCAAAGTGAGGAGCTTCAGAAAATGAAGGTTTTTGAGACCAGCTTCCAAATGGCCTTTTTTATGCACCTAAAAATAACAGTCACTAATAAGTGTGGCTGCAGGGTTCATTTGCAAGGGTGTCCGTTTGCTTGCCTATGTGTTGCCACCCTCCAAAGCCCTAAGCCTGGCTTCCAGGCATGCTTGGAGCAAGAGGAGACAGGAGTGGAGTGTGCAGGCAGGTTGGAGATGTAAGACCCAACTGCTGGCATCAGTGGGGCCATCGGCGCGGTGGCAGGAACCAGCCTCTCTCCTCCAAATCTGGCAGAGTGTGCTGCAAGCAGCACTGGTGGACCTGTGCCAGGGTCAGCCTCCCGTGTGAGACGGATCCACAGCAGTGCCTCTCGCCCGCTGCTTGTACTCAGGTGTTGGTTTGTCCCCCCCATCCCTCGCACGACTCCAGCCGTGCTCTCTGTGGAAGCGTAGGGCAGAGGATATACCTTCCTCCCACCTACACGACCCTTGCTGCGCCCGCTCCTTCCTCCAGCCAGAACTGCAGGGCTCTCCCCTCTGCAAAAAAAATAACAAGAAGCAGGAAAGGGACCGAGGGGAGGCTGAACGACAGCTGAGCTTTGGGGCTCCCTCCCGCCCACGCCCCAGGCGCTGCGGCCCCACAGCTGGCGAAGCAAGAGGAAGGCTCTGCTGTCAGAGCAGGGCATGCTTCCCACCCTGCCCTTTCCCAAATGTCCTTGTTGTTCAGAAGATCATTTGGTCTTCAGCTCTCTAGCTTAGGCTGTGCTGTGTGCAGGCTGGCAGCAGAGAGCTGCTGTGGGAGACGGCTGGCCGGCTCCGGCCAAACGGTATTTCCACCAGAGCCAGGCTTTTGTCTCCTTAATCCTTTGACCTCCGTCTCACTCACATGTTTCCACTCCCTGTCTCCCATCACCTCCCAAGCGCTGGGCTCCTGGAGGCCTGGCCCTGTTAGATGGGGTTGGGTTCGCATTGCCAGGCCTCTGCCTACTCACCCCCCGGGCTTAAATTTGCTGGGACTCCTCTAGAGCATGGAAGATGCGGCGGTGGTGATCACAGGGTCGCTGCAAATGCCCTCGACATGGGGACGTGGAAGAGGAGAGAAATCTGGAGAAGAGATCCTGCTCCGCTTAGCAAGCTGTGCCCCTCCATAACAGCGCACCCTCCGCCTCGAGCCTCTGCCGCCCGAGTTCGGTTCACTAATCGGCACGTTGCTGCTTAACCCTTTGCTCTGGAAGAAAGCAATATTCATTGTATATTCTGTTGGTGTTTTAATGCTTAATGAATAAATATGGGGCATTTTGATCTAGTAAAGACTGACTTCTGTATTTCCTCTTCATCTGTCTTAAGAACATAAAATCAAAATGGGAAAGATGGGGAAACGGACACGGTAGCATTTGGAACAATTTTCCCCCTGGTTATGGTTTTACAACATATATTTTGCTTGGATCAGGAACTTCGGAAAGTACTAATTAAAGGATTTTCACCTACCACAGAATATTCAGAGAGCTCCCAGCCTTTTCACGATGTCAGAGTCCACATGGACTGCACCAGGAGAAAGACAGGGACTAAAAAGCTCGGATAGGACAGAGGTGTTGAGGAAAAAAAAATTTTTTGTTAAATCCTGGGAATTTATTCTCTGGGTGAATTCTGAAGAAAGGGGTAGGATTAAACCACTATGGACACACAGAATTTGCGAAGGGTTTGATGTAATTTACTCTCACAAACCCAGGTGTGATTCTCATTTGCACCCTGGCAACTTTACACTGTTTTCCCAGTGTAAAGGGGTTGTAAAGACGGCATCAATCATTTTTACACCTACTTTATGACCATTTTACACAGCTAAAAGGGCCCTTTGTGTAAATGAGAACTCAAGCCCTAGAGAATTTAATAGAGAAGAGATCCTTTCTATAGACTGTGCTAGACCCTCTAATAGGGTCTATTACTGGGATATAACTCTCTGCTGGATATTATAGCTTGGCTTAAAGATCATCAGTCTCGATTAAATTCAGTTCTGCAAAACTTTCCCAAAGGCCGTAACTCCTGGGTGACACGCGTGCTCCTCCACCCCGAGCACACGCAGACGGTGATGGTGTTGCATGGATAACTGCTTGTTTTTCAAAAGGAGAAGCAGCAGCTACCACTCTCCTCTGGCTCTGAGGCATTTTGATGTTGTGCTATGCAAATACCGGAGCGACAATAACAGCAACGAAAAGGGAACCGAGATGCGACGCCTTACACGGAGCCGAAATGTCACATTCGCAACCCCACCAGGCACCGAGGTGGCACCCGCTCCCGACGGCGGCGGGGGTGGCTGCAGTTTGCACCCTTATCCTTCCCCCGCTGCTACGGGAAGGACAGGGGCCGGTGGGCGAAGGGGAAGTGCCACCGGGTCCTGACCCCACGCCGGGGCTGCCACCAGCCCACTCCTCCTGCCACCGCCTTCACGTGACGGCCATCTGCGCCTCGCCGGCCCGGCCGGCTCTGCGTGGGCACCGCTTGGAGCTCTGCCTAAAAAACAGCTCTGCGCAAGAGCGCTGGAAACTGTAATCAACTCGCAGGACTGTGGTTTTTTCTTTTTTTTTTTTTTTTTTTTAATTTTTTTTCTTTTTCACATTACCAGCCAGTGCAATATTTGCTTTGGGGGCCTTTCGAAACAGAAAGCACGTTGCTGGCGTGTGAGAGAAGCCGCAGTTCAGGTCCTCTATATTTAGAAAGCCAGGATGTCATACCTCCCCTTGAAATTTTCATAGTCCCCTGCACCCCACCCACCCACCCACACACATACACATGCTTGCGTCTGGAAAATGTTTTTCGGTCTTAGCAAAGGGTGTTGGCTTAGGGGGATTCGAGGGAGGTGCAGAGGAACAACAGCAGCGCAGTCCCGAGCGCGAAGCTCGAAGCCTCCTTAAGGCACGGGGCGGCACGGCAGGCAGTGGGGACCCACCGCTCCGGCCGGGTTCAGGTGGCCGGAGTCAAGGATCTTTCCCATTGTCAGTCTGTAACATAAATTTTAAGGCAGGGACAAGTTTTTCTGAGACGTACGGAAGCCCTCTGCCACGTCACGTCAGGTAGCGACGTGCTCTCAGCCAACAATGTCTTCCTGGGCCCATTTTTAGGTGGCCACACACAGACTGTATGTAGCACCTGTAGCAAGTGCTTCAAGAAGACACATTTTGATGTTAGTTCATCTCAAGTGTCTGCATTTCCCCCCCCAAGGGGGAGGCTGCTACCTTCCATAATCTCTAAGCAGTAGTATTTATCCTGTGATAAAGCAGCTCCGTAGTCAAATATTATAAATTATGATGGCACCTACAAAGACCAGAGTACATTTTCCTTTTGGTTTCGGTACCTGTTTTCCATGCCTTTGTCCAAGCAAACAGTTGAAAGACTCACCTAAACTTCATACTGGGGGGGAGGGGGCTGGAGATTTCTTTTTTGTTTTTCTTTTTTTTTCAAAGGTATGGGCAATGCATATTTCTTTTATTACCATAATGCTTTCCCACTCCACAAGACCATCTTCACATTCGAGCATAGACATTAAGGCCCGCTTATGGTGACTGACTGCAGAGAGAGCGTGGAGCTGAGACCCACCAAAGCTCACAAATGACTCCTCACTTCACCTAGGTGCACCCAAGTATTGCTGCCCAGCATCCAGCTGCCAAATGCAGGTGGGAGCCCAGCCTGAGCCATGAGAATAATCAGCAGAGGGTGATTTGAATACATGCCTCTCCTTCAGTCAGATGTATTATGAGTGACAAGAGATGGGCTGACCTCGAGTTATGAGAGAGATAGAGAGTGACACCGATTAAGGCAGCCACTGAGTTAAGAGCCCTGATTGTCCTGGAAATGAGATATTTGAGAAATGTAGGTTTTTAAGCCTGTTTTATTCTCTGTGGTCATGTAAAGAGAACCCTGTTTTTAAATGGCCCAAAGCTGACTAAAGAGGGATTTCTTCTTACTTCAGTGTGGGATTGCTCTTTCACCAAAACTAGGATGAGAGGCAGCCTTTGCCTGATCCATCCTCCATTGGGCTGGCTGGGAGCATCACTGCTGGAGCTGCAGCCGCACACAGGCAGAAGAGTGTCGAAGCCACCCTCACGTCTTTTTTGGGACATTTTCTTCCGGCCCCACAGCTGTAAGTGCTGGGACAGGGAGGGCAGGGTCAGCCAGTGACCCAGATCTGTAATGAGCTCGAGTCAAACAAGCCCTGCAGCTATCCCCATTTATACTGACTGTACTGGTCACCAGGGATTTGGTGGGATAGTTTAGGGAACAATTGCGATGAAAATAATAGAAAACAGACATTTACACTTTCCCTTCCACCTTGCAAATCCAAGCAGACAAGCAGCACACACACGAGGGGAACCAAAGGGAGCCGATGGAAAAGCAAAAGTCTCCTGCCCCATTTCACCTGCCAACAAGCCGAGAAACAGTGAAACAGTACAGAAACAAAACCACCATAGATCGGACACTCTAAATGTTTTGGGTTTTCCTGATCCAAGGTGTTGTTTAGGTCAAGAACATGAAAAAGAATATATTTGTGTGGGCTCCTCCCCGCTGGTCTGAGTCTCCCAAACACCAGAGAACTGCATCAGATGGGGACCCAGCCAGGCAGGCTTTTTGCTGATAGACTTTGCTGTCGCCACAGGAATTAAATTTTGTAACCTGACTGGGCTGGGGAGGTGGGGAAGGGCAGTTTACGGACTGTACTCATATATCTATATATGTTCTGTTAAGGCTACTGTTTTCAGATTCAGCATTTCTTCTTGTGTGCAAAAGGAAATGCTAGGATCTCGGCTTGCAAAAATCCGTGCTTCTGAATTAACAGGAGTTGCATCTCCACTTTATTTCTAATAAAACTTTTCTCACTCGCTCCACCCAGGTTTCAGTGTTTCTCTTCCTTCTCCATTTTCCGGAGTGGCGGAACTTTTCCTTGCACACCCTCCACCAGCCCTGAAAAAGGCACTGGGTCTGCAGGCTGCGTGCAAGCAGCCCCTGCTTAGCCAGGCCAGGGGAGGCACAATTTGCAAACTGGCTTGAGGCTTCTCCTGAGTTCTCCTCCAAACATGCTCCAGTCACTGATTACGCTATTGTTCATAACAAATTGTCAAAAAATTACAGAGAGCCAGTGCTTGAAAATCACACAGTCTAATTGCCTGATAATAGGCAACAAGTGGATTTCATTAGCTGAAGCCACATATGTGGCTATTGTGCGGTGGGAACAGGCAAGCCCTGGCGCCGTGCCTCCCACACAGGCTCTGCCACCACCAAAATCCCTGGAAATTTCACCTGAATAAGGAAAAACTATTGGATTACTGAATAAGGGAAAATTACAGACCTGCAGGCAGCCGCTGGGGACCCAGTTGTGCTCGCACTGAAGAGGGGGGTCATGCGGGAGCATGACACATCTCTGAGCATCGAGGCTGACTCCCATCCCCAAGGGAAACTGTCCTGTTTTGAAGGGGTCTGTAGACAACAACGTGCCACACCGACCCATGGGTGACCCTGTGCCGCTCAGGCATGGATGGCAAGGCTCTGTTAGGACAGCTGTACACGTGCCCATGTTGGCACGTATACATGTGTGTCCTTGCAGAAAGGGAGATGGGAAGGTGATACATAACACGAAGTTTACACATGGTCATACATGAAACTACACCAAAAACTGCTGTGGGTGGGAAAGCTACAGCTTTATGTCGATGCATGACCATGTGTAAGTGCAAAAAAGGCCTGAATGCCAAAATACCAACCCCAGTGGCATGCTCCATTTAATACTCACCTCCTCCCAAATGTATTGCAGTATCTCACATTTCCAAACAGCTTTAAAGCCTTGTCTACTCTTTAAAGCAGCCTGCCATGGGTGCATCCCCTTCCTTGCCTCCCCTCACAAGCACGGGAACACCCTCCTCCGCTCCAGCCACTGCTCAGTGCCAGGCTTACTCCGCTCCTCGCAGCTTTGGGGCTGCAAATCCTCATCTCAGGAGGAAAAAAGCAGGTAGAGTGGAAGAGGAATAAAGATTTGTCTTGGTCTGAGCATGGCACATCTTACTGTAAGGTTTTTCCCACTAAAAGGAATGTTCTGATTGGGACTGGTTTGGAGTTTGATGAGCTTTTTTCTCTTGGTGGCTGTAAGAACCTGATTCAAGGCCACTGAAATGGATGAAAAACTTTGTGCTCAGTTCAGTGGCTTTGGATCAGCCCATGTAGGAAATTCATTCTCACCTGATTCTAGCTGTGGGTTAATTAATATTTCCCATGCTTAATAGAAAGCATCATTAGACCTGCTGGATCACACTGGAGGCAACACTAGCCAT